TGATGGACAACCCTGACCAGCCTCCCGAAGGCGTAACAGACGTCCCTCCTTCTCCTTCCAACGATGAAGAACCTCCCTCACCAGGACTTCAGCGGTCTGGGAAAAGACGCCGCCGGTCCTCACCAATAACGTCGTCCGACGATGAAGAGGCCATTGCCCGCAGACGCGAACAAGCCAGGGTTCGAAAGCAGAGGGCAAGGTCACAGGAAACTGAAGAACAGGCTGCGCAGCGCTGCCCTGAGCACGCGAAGCGTGTAGCTAGCGGCCGCAGAAGCACTGAGCACGCGAAGCGTGCGAATCGTGTAGCCACCACCACGTGCTGAGCACGTGTGCTGTTCATGTACTTGCTTCACCCGCATGCCACGTTCGGCCAGGCAACGCTGGCCGAGCACGCGAAGCGTGCGAACAGTGTAGCTAGCTAGCTCGCTATAGCGGCCGCAGAAGCACTGACTGAGCACGCGAAGCGTGCGAATCGTGTAGCCACCACCACGTGCTGAGCACGTGTGCTGTTGATGTACTTGCTTCACCGGTGCACCCGCATGCCACGTTCGGCCAGGCAACGCTGGCCGAGCACGCCAAGCGTGCGAACAGTGTAGCTAGCGGCCGCAGAAGTACTGAGCACGCGAAGCGCGTGCGAATCGTGTAGCCACCACCACGTGCTGAGCACGTGTGCAGTTCATGTACTTGCTTCACGTCCGGACGTCCCGCATGCCACGTTCGGCCAGGCAACGCTGGCCGAGCACGCGAAGCGTGCGAACAGTGTAGCTAGCGGCCGCAGAAGCACTGAGCACGCGAAGCGTGCGAATCGTGTAGCCACCACCACGTGCTGAGCACGTGTGCTGTTCATGTACTTGCTTCACCCGCGCGCATGCCACGTTCGGCCAGGCAACGCTGGCCGAGCACGCGAAGCGCGCATGCGAACAGTGTATACATATAGCTAGCGGCCGCAGAAGCACTGAGCACGCGAAGCGTGCGAATCGTGTAGCCACCACCACGTGCTGAGCACGTGTGCTGTTCATGTACTTGCTTCACCCGCATGCATGCCACGTTCGGCCAGGCAACGCTGGCCGGGTGCTGCTAGTATTGTATAAAGAAACCTTGCTTGGTACAGTAAGATCGGGCGCCGAAGAACACCTCGCCGAAGAACACCCAGGCTGGAAAACCGGCAAAATTTAAGAACAGTCCAGGCTAGAATTATCAGATTTAAGAACACTTTTAAAATTTTCATACATGTACTTTAGGCCTTGACGGATTATGCTAGCATAATTTTTCGCATAATTCCTACCAAAATCGAATAATCGCATAATTCGAGGCAAATTGCATACGAATCGCATAAAATTGGAATAATCCCCCTGTTCGCATCAAATTCCATACAGTTGTACATGTTCTACAAGTACAAGTACAAGTAGATGCACTAGGAAGTAAGTAATTTAGTTGTAGGTTTACGACTCCCTTGATAACATGTCCAGTCCACTACAATCAGTGATGGTCGTAGCTAGGTCGGACGGTGCGTTGACCCCGTTGAACTTTTGCTACTACAGTACAATCATGTACAACGCCCTCTACAAAAAAATTCCCCTGTTATTTTGCACAGAACCATTATGCATTAGCAGCATATGTGAGCATAATGCGGCATAATATGATAACTTTTAGCATAAAAATAGCATAATTCTGCAATTTTTTCAGCAATGCGAAAAGCATAATTTCACGAAAATATTAGCATAATCCGTCAAGGCCTAATGTACTTACACGAAGTTGCGAATTTACACGTAGATCTACATTGTACATGTATGGGAGGTGAGTACATGTCATGTACACGTGTAAACAGTAACTGCTACATGTACAGTCATTCCCATTTACGCCACCCACTAGTTTAGAAGTACTACATTGCACTACATGTACATGTACATGACAAACGTCATGACGTCACTCGACTCGCCGCGCGCGTGTGAATAAAAACGGTCTGGCTAGAATCAAAATTTTAAGAACTTTCCTAGGCTGCGCTCGAGCCCCTGCGTTCTTCGGCGCCCGATCTTACTGTAGTCTAGCATGTTTTTCGATTTTGACAGCATGTTACAAACATGTAGTTGTAGGGAATGTCATGTAGAAATACAGTGGTGGCCAAAAGTTTTGACCCACCCCATGGAATCGTCAGTACAGCTCAGTCTGGCTCCTAAACACGCCGTTTTTGACTTCTTTGAGGCCAAAGCCGATTGAAACTTGGCAAGGACACTAAAATTTGCAAGAATCCGTTGTCAACTGAGATTTGTGATGGATCACCATACATTTGGGTGGGTCAAAACTTATGGCCACGTGACCAAATTTTGCTCTACCGTACCGTACGGTTTCAAAAAAGTTGTCAGGCTGATGCACGTGCCGGGAAAGTTGAAAATCAACACTTGACTTCTCACTTCGAGAGTTTGCGATATCAAACTTGATTATTTTGACGACGGAGATGGTATTTTCAGCCAATTTAGTGAACCGAGGTCAGATTAGCAAGGATGTGAGGGAAATGGTCGTGAAGCTGAGTGTTGACGGTCTCTTTTGGCGTGGTATCGCTCCTCTGTTGGATTTGAGTAATCCTACGATACGTAGAATTGTCAGGAAACAAAAATTGACTACATTCCACCACGATCAGACCGACCAAGAGAGACCAGTGCAAGACAAGATCGCCACCATATCATGAAGTCAATGGCGAATCGCCTCAAATCCGTCACTGCCTGCGAGCTGAGATGGTGAGCGACGGTGATAACGCGATTTCTGTGCGTTCTGTGAGACGCAAGTTGCAGAGAGCAGGCCTACGTGGCTGTATGGCCATCAAATGGCCCTTCATCAGTGCTGTGAATAAGGCGAAACGCCTTAAATTTGTATAGACGCACAAGGACTGGAGCAGTGATGACTGGTGGTAATTTCTGTGGACTGATGAGTCTAAAATCAACCTCAAGGGCTCTGGTGATGCAGTTTACGTCAGGAGGTGGACAGGATAGGCTCTGGCTGGCACATGCACCCGCAAAACTGTGAAGCGCCGCGACGGCAATATCAATGTATGGGAGCTATGGCCAGCAACGGCGTAGCGCGCATTTGCCGGGTGATGGATACGATGAATGTGGACCAGTACCTCGCATCATCCGAAAACATGTTGTTGCTGAGCATGATGCAGCTTGTGGGTGGTGTGGGTGGTGTCTTATGGCCGCAAACGCTCCGCAAACAGAACGGAGGCGCGGCGGACGGTGAACGACATCACCGTCCTGACATGGCCCCTGCAGCCACCTGACCTCAATCCAACTGAGAATCTCTGCAAAATTGCTGGGCTGAAGCAGCACGATGTTGAAATCACCCCCAGAAACCAGTATGAGCTGTGGCGAGTGTGCCGGGAGGCATAGAAGTTGATTTCTCCTCACGAGCGCAAGAAGATCGTCGATTCAATGCGGCAGTGTATGCAAGCGATCATCAAGGCCAAGGGAGGGGTTACAAAGTGGTGGATGTATCTGGAATAGGCCGGGACTGACTTCTAGACTTTAGTTTAGTTGAATACTTTTTAGAAATCACACTATTTCGTGTATCCTGTTGGCGGTTTATGATAGTGCGGGCGTTGGCCATAAGTTTTGACCCACCTTTTACATATACTTGACCACAGTAGTCCCCAGATGACTCCGTGTTTCAGCATTTTTCATTTCTACTTCACTATTCAGCCTGATTCAGAGGTCCTCAACCAAAAATTTAGTAGCTTACAGCCCAAACCTTCAGAATTCGAAAAATCTGCATGGTGGGTCAAAACTTTTGACCACCACTGTACAATCATGAATTTGTCCACTGCCATGTCTGTTGACGTAGGAAGACTGATAACTACCGCCAGTACCGGTGACTTACCCGAGATGATCGCACAGCAATGCTGACGCATAGCAAAGAGCTCGGATAGTGACTGGGAGTAGCATTGTACATGTAGATACGACTGTCGTTGCCACCACTATTCTGTTTGAGACGGAGTAAACCTTACTCCAATCAGACAATAATGTTAGGGAGTGGTCGACGGGGAGCCCTTGGTTGACAATGCTCGAAAAAGTGGCAGATTCTGCTCGAAAAGCAGTGAAACAGGAGAAGAAGGCTTTTCATCTGACCCGACGGGACCACACGGCTCTTGCAGGCTCTCTCTCACTCTCTCTCTCTCTCACTCTCTTTCCTTCTCTCTCTCTCCCATCTCTTTCCCTCTCTCTCTCCCCCTCTCTTTCCCTCTCTCTCTCTCTCTCTCTCTCTCTCTCTCTCTCTCTCTCTCTCTCTCTCTCTCTCTCTCTCTCTCTCTCTCTCTCTCTCTCTCTCTCCCTCTCTCTCTCTCTCTCTCTCCCCCTCTCTTTCCCTCTCTCTCTCCCCTCTCTTTTCCTCTCTCTCCTCTCTCTCTCTCTCTCTCTCTCTCTCTCTCTCTCTCTCTCTCTCTCTCTCTCTCTCTCTCTCACACACACACACACACACACACACACACACACGCCTTCCTTCCTTCCTTCCTTCCTCCGCCCACTGTCACGATTGGCTGTGTCCCCAAACGGGGCGACTTGAAGGAGTGCTGGCTTCGGGACGCGGCATGAGGCACTTCGAGTCCTGCGGGACGTGAACGGCTGTTTCACTGTTTGTTTTCTTTGCTTTTGCGGAGCGACGGGAGGTGCAACTATGTCTAGCGATGTCTTGAGGACGGCTGAAACGGCGTGCGCAGACCATACACAGGAGTGGCTTCACGGCAGGTTGTACACGAGAGTATACCACGCTGTAAACTCCATCCTGACACCTGGTTCTCCACTCAGACCTATCAACAGCTGTGTCAAGCCACTCATCCATGCAGATGGACGCCGCCGCCAGGTCATGTTTGACTGGGTCTTTCCACCTCTTCCGGGGCCATGTGGAGGTCGTTAAGACGGCAAGGCACCAAAGAGCAGTTGGCGGGGAATACGGTCACCCATGCGAGCCAGGTGGCCCAGCCATTGGAGACGACGACGCGGCGCCGGACCTTGTCAGAGACCTAGGTACTCCATGTCTCCCCACCACTGCTGTACCTGAAGGGTTGACACGTGCTCGTCCATCTGGCGCGCCCGATTGATGCCCAGGACCATGCGTATAGATCGCAGGTGGAACGACTCCAGACGCTGGAGATCCCGCTGCCTCGGTGTCCAGTTCTCAGCACCATAGTCATAGAGGAGTACCGCCAACACCGTGACTCCGTACACAACACGCTTGAGACCGATAGGAAACTCGGAGTTCGCAAACACAGCCTTCTTCAAGGCGCCAAATGCACCCGAAGCTGCGGCGATCCTGCGAGAGACATCAAAGCTACTCCTAGCATCAGGAGTGATCTGGCAGCCAAGATAGCGAAAGCTGTCCACACATTCGACGGTTCCACCCAAAAGCAACATATCCGACGCCACCACACCAACGCCCATAGGCATGAACTTAGTTTTGCCCAGATTGACTGACAGGCCAAAAGATGCTGCAACCTCGCCGTAGATGTTGGCGAACAGCGACGAATCGTCCGCAAATGGACACTCCGTTATAGTCACTCTGAACTCAGTTCCGGCATCGGTCCGCCTTGCTGCTTCACCAAGTCAATTTCGTATCGCGATCCTAGATTGTCTAGGGTACCCCGTAAGGAGACCATAGGTCTGTGGGGACTGCCCTAGAGAAATATGAATAAATACTATACTATACTACTACTCTGCGACACTCTCCGAGGCGTGTATTGAACAAGCAGTCTCTGCGGAACTACGACACCTGGATACCGATATCCTCGTCATTGGCGATGGCAGCATGCCACTTTTCCACAACCGCACCCATGAATAAGTTGAACAGGATCGGGGCCACAGTGCATCCCTGACGTAGGCCACTTCCCACCGGGAAAGGTTCCAGCAGATCTGCGCCGAGACGGCACACACACCTTGAACCTTGAACTCAAGGTTTATGTACCGGTAATACCCCTTATACTAGTAGTACATGTACATGTACAGAATGTGACCATGGTGACGGTACACAGTCATGTACAGCGTGCGTTTGGGAAAGTGGTATCTGATCCTGGGCGCCCATCCAGCCTGCTTCCGGACGGTTCAATATGTAACGATCCCGATACCTTCAACCAGTTTCGACCGGCCCTAACAGAAAAAATCATGACCCTAGTGCAGTCCGTTGATTCATCCAAAGCCACAGGCCATGATGAATTGCCAGGTATTGTTCTGAAGAAGTCCGCGGCAGAATTAGCTCCGTCTATGTGCATGATATTCAACGCTTCGCTCTCGACGGGCAGATTTCCACGCCAGTTCAAGCTTGCTACTGTGTTTCCTTTGTTCAAGGGTGGTAGCCTTGACCCTGTTCAAGCTGCTTCCTATCGGCCTATCTCTCTCCTGCCTATTATATCTCGTCTACTGGAGAAACTAGTGAAGGCCCAACTCATGTCATACATAATGGAAAACGATCTCCTCCCTACTTCGCCGTTTGCATACAGGAGGCGACACAGCACTGAGGACGCCCTTGTCCTAGCGGTAAACCGCTGGTTAATAGCCAAGTATGAGCGGAAAGAAACAGGCGTAGCATTTGTCGACATGTCCAAAGCGTTCGACTCTGTCAAGCACAAATTGCTGCTGGAAGAGCTCTCCAACATGGCCCATTGGGTGTGACAGGCACTGCGAATTCCTGGCTTGCTAGTTACCTCAGCGACCGGTACCAGCGTGTAGTTGTTGGCGGCAGTATGTCAAGCTACACACAGTGCAGTCGAGGCGTGCCACAGGGCTCCGTTCTCGGCCCACTGCTCTTTACCCTGTATATTCGCGACATCCACAATTGCATTCCACGTCCCGTCGTTCATCAAGAGTTTGCGGACGATATCGACTCGAGGCCTCTGGGAGTCGAGCAGTGGTGTGCACCTCCCTAAGCACCGCCGTCACCAATCTGGCAACTTGGCTTGAGGACCGTGGCCTTAAGCTGAACCAGACGAAGACTCAGGTCTTGCATATAACACCTCGTGGTGGGCAGCAGAGTGCAGAACCGCTCCAGATCCGTTGCGACGGGAAACTGCTAACAATTGTGTCACAGGCTCGCTACCTTGGAGTTATTGTTCATAATGAGCTCTCCTGGGATGGCCACGTCGACCACACCATTCGCCAAGTATTAGTTCGACGCTCCATTGGTGCGCTATGGCGCTCACGTCAAAGCTTGACAGTCTCCTCGAAAAAGCTATATTTTATCATGCAATGATCATGTCCAGACTAACATACGCGTCCAATGCAATCTATCCGTCTCTGATGGCCAGAAACATGGACGCCCTCACTCGAATGACGAAAGCTGCAATCCATGCCTTCTTTGGCTTTCCGCCGTGGACTTCCACTGCAGGAATCTTCGAGAGACTCTGTCTTCCTACCCTCGAGGACGCCCTGCCAGCGAAAATTCTAATATTCGTTCGCCGCTGCATTCATGGCCGTTCAAGTGTCCTGTTTAGGAATTACTACGGGAGAACACAGAGTAATCGCACCCGTGGAGCTGACCAAAACCTATTGCAGGTACCCTTCTGACCCAGTCCTTCTGGTCGAGGTACGATCCAGTTCATTGGTGCCATTCGCTGGAACAAGACACCGCCCATGATGCGCTGTGAACCTTGTCACGCCCATTTATGTGCTCTCTCGAAAGCGTCCAAATATTCAAAATTGGTTACTTTTTTATCTGGTCACCAATGGTCAATCCTTCGGTCAGTTACGTTTTCGGTTTTCAACAGGGTTCTTTTTCCCGCAGATCTATCTGTAACATATTCAGTTACCTTCGGTGACTTCTTTCACTTGTGATTTTTTCTCCTCCCCTCCCCATTACTATTATTATCATTAAATTTGTCATGTCGCTCGCATGTATAAAAGAAGGCGCCATCGCCTGTTTGTGTTGCGACTTTAAATAAAATTCAACAACAACAACTCAACTTGCCCATTGCGGCGACACGTCTTCCCGCAAGCATAACGATACTCAGGCTCGGCGGAGATATCACGAGGCTGAGGACGACGGTGGATGACCTCCCTCCACTCCGAGCGGTTCTAGGCAGTGTCGAGCCATTCCTTCTCCGGGACAGGTGGATGAATGCGGTTGAAGTCGTCCACAACCACATCCCGCCAACGCTTGCGTGGGCCGTGCTGCGGTCGAGTTGCAGAGAGCTCCCCAAACAGGGTACACTTGGGCAGACGGTCATCGTCCATGCGGCCAATACGGTCTCTGCTCCATACAACAGGGTCGTAAGAACGAGAGCCACGTAGACACGGCGTCGACATCGGAGGGACAAGGAGTGGTTCCCGAAGACAGGTGCCCGCAAGCAATCAAACACTCGAGACGCCTTAGAAATCCGCGACTGCACATCATGCGCACAAAGACCATCCCGGTGAATTACGGACCCAATATATGTTAATTGGTAAACGGCGTCGATGGTTCCATTCCCGAGATGAACGGGCTCACTGGTGGGAGTATTGATTGATATAGCTTTGGTCTTTGTCAAGCTGACGGTCAGTCCCCAACCAGAAGCACAAGCCACAAACGTCTCCGCACACCGATCAAAGGATGCCTTGGACGTGGCGTGTAGCGCCGCATCGTTAGCAAACTGCGACTCCGTTACAGTGAGACGCTGCAGACGTGACTTGGCAGTTCGGTCGACAACCAGCTTTCTCCCAACTTTGTACCGCAGCTCGACACCTGCGTCCGGGCATATAGAACGCCAGTGGTCAACTACCGCCGAGAAGTACAGATTAAGCAGGACAGGGGCCAGCGTGCAGCCCCGCAGGCCGTTGTTGTTGTTGTTGTTGTTGTTTATTTATTTTACATCGCAAGGCAAACGGGCAGTTCTGCCCAATATTATGGAAGCGATGACAACCAGTAAGAGGAGTCAGAAATGAAGAGAAAAATAAATGAAAATAGAAATACGAAAATGGAAGTAGCAATGAGGGGAGGCAGGGTCAAGAGGAGCAGAAAAAAATGGATCTCAAATTTACAAGTCGGGTCATCGTAGCATGATTCTATCGAGCCTCATCAGCAGGTTACAAAAGCCATTACATTTAACCGAAGTAAAATACGCGCAGCATGCGTTTGAATTCACGGACAGATACTATGGACTTCATACAGTCGGGCAGGCCATTCCAGAGTCGGCAGCTGGCTAGAAGCGGTCGGCATGCGCCAGAAGCACTGTGGGCCAGGGGGAGGGGAAGGTTGCGTCCCAATTGACCTCGAGTGGTCATGCCTGTCGGCGGGCCTTGCAATACAATTCGGGACGACAACAGCTCACTGACGATTCCAGAACGGATTCTAAATGTCAGGAGTCGGAGCTTGCATTCTCCTCGTTCCAGCACTGAGCAGACACCCAGCCTGGTGTACAGGGGAAGAGTGTGGGCCAATGGGTGCTCATCGGCCACGCAACGGATACAACGTTTATCCAGTTTGGCTACTGTGTTCCGCTGCTCAGCGGACAGTCCTGGGAGAAACGCATTCGACGCATATAGAATATCCGGTATGACAAGGGCAGAGTAATACAGCATCGCCTGCCTCACTGTTAGGCAGTGCCGGATCTGGCGGAGGATCCGCAGCTTCATAGCCGTGCGTCGGACGATAGAGGTGACTTGCGGTGACCAGCGAAGATTTTCGTCCAGAGTGACTCCGAGGTAGCGAGCCGTACTGGTCTGGGCAAGAGGCGTGCCAGTGCAAGTAATGTGGAGGTCGAGGTGTGCCTGCCGTCCAGCTTTGATTGCAAGCACTTGCGTCTTTCCGGTGTTGAGGATAAGCCCTTTGGCATCGAGTAGCCTGGCGACAGCCGACACTGCTGCGGAAAGGGTGATGTTGATGGCGTGAGCGCTAGCGTGGCTCAGGTACAGCATGATGTCGTCCGCGAACATTAGTGTACTGTTGTTGACGTTGATGTTGGACGTGAGGCCGCCACACACCCGCACTTTCACCTGCATGGACTCATGCAGGGACTTGATGATGTTCAGCATGGTGGGCGGGACGCCGAACTTCTGCAAGAGGGCCCATAGCGCCGGCCTCGGGATCGAGTCATATGCCTTCCTCATGTCAACAAACAGCGCGTAGAGTGGCACATGATGCTCAATGGATTTCTCCACCAACTGGCGAGCAACATGGACCATATCCATGCAGCCACGACCCCTACGGAAACCGCACTGTGAGTCAGGAAGGACAGACTCGGCGATAGTCTGCAGGCGGTCCTGGATGATGCGGGCGAAAAGCTTGCCGACAGCGTCCAACAAACTGATCCCCCTCCAATTGTCGCACTACGACACCTGAGTACCGATATCCTCGTCATTGGCGATGGCAGCATGCCACTTTTACACAACCGCACCCATGAATAAATTGAACAGGATCGGGGCCACAGTGCATCCCTGACGAAGGCCACTTCCCACCGGGAAAGGTTCCAGCAGATCTGCGC